GAAACAGGAAAACGTGCTTTCCCTGTTGGAAGCAAGTAAAACTCTAGAAAAGGAGTTGTATGGCAAAATAAACTTTAGATCTCAACCAAATTTTGAGAGACCAGGGATTTTCTGGAGGGGGAGTTCCCAGGCCTCAGCAAATTGTCCTCTTGGTTTGAGCCATAAGGATAGCTCAAGCTGGCCCCAAGCACCAACAGATTTATCAATAGATTTATCAAAGGTCAGGGGCACCTTTACTCAGAATCTCTTCATCGGGCTGGGCATGGTGGCTCACGTCTGTAATCCCAGCACTTTGGGAGGCTAAGTTGAGTAGATCACAAGTTCAGGAGTTCATGACCAGCCTGGCCAGTATGGTGAAATCCTGTCTCTACTAATACAAAAAAAATTAGCCAGGCATGGTCCCAGGGACTTGTAATCCCAGCTACTTGGGAGGCTGAGGCAGAGAATTGCTTATACCCAAGAGGTGGAGGTTGCAGTGAGCCAAGATTGCGCCACTGCACTCCAGCCTGGGCAACAGAGCGAGACTCCATATCAAAAGAAAAAAGAATCCCTTCATCATTACCAATTCATAGTAATGAATAAATAAACTTTCAATAAATTTAGAAAGTTTATTTTGCCAAAGTTAAGGATGTGACCCTGACACAGCCTCAGGAGGTCCTGATGACATGTACCCAAGGTGGTCAGGATACAACGTGCTTTTATATTTTTTTAGGGAGACATATCCATCAATACCTGTAAGATGCACACTGGTTCAATGTGGAAAGGCAGGACAATTTGAAGTAGGGCTTCCAGGTTGTAGGTAGATTTAAGAATTTCCTGATTGGCAACTGGTTGAAAAAGTTATCTAAAGACCCAGAATCAATAGAAATGCCTGGGTTATGATGATAAGGGGTTGTGGAGACTAAAGTTTATCAGGCAGATAAAGCATCCAGGTAGCAGACTTCGGAGATAATAGATTGTAAATGTTTCTTATCAGACAAGTTTAATGCTGGTCAGTTTTTCCTGAATTCCAAAAGGGAGGAGGGTATAATGAGTTATGTCTAACTCTCCCTTCCCATCATGGCCTGAACTAGTTTTTAGATTAACTTTAGAATGTACTTTGGCCAAGAGGAGGGGTCCATTCAGATGGTTTGGGTGGGGGTGTTTACAATTTTATTTTTGGCTTACATAGTCAAGGTTAATTATCTCAAAGCAATAAGGTAATCCTCATTTTTCTTTTAAAACCCCTTGTCTTCCTTTATCTCCCTGAATACAGTTTACATTTTCCCATTGCAATACCCATTCCCAAATACTATTTTCTTTTAGCGAGACTCCTGCTGTTATTTAGGCTCACAAAATGGTGTCAGAAGTGGAATAAAAGTGGCCTCACCTCAGATGAATCAGTGGCCCCTCAAATTGAGTGTGGTACCTACTGATCCCTTTGACCCCACCTCTTTTTATACCAGGAAAGGGACTGGCACATCTCTGGTTATGCAGCATAAAGTTTCCATAGCCCAAGGGCTGGGGTCTGACATCCAGTCTGACTACATACCTGTGTTGTTCAGTTCCATGAATTTTCCTTGAAAAGGCTATCTGAGAAGCCAATCTGTGAGTGCTCTCCACCATTCACCTTTTATTGATAGTATCTGCTCCATATTTAATTTTGGAGATACACTGTTACAGTATTTTATTATTAGCTGTAGAAAGGATACTCTGGAAATGTGGTAGTTAGAACGTATCTCTGTCACTCTTTCCTCTCAGTTAAATATCTGACACTTATCTCCTGAGCAGAAGAGCTACTGGAGCAAAGAGAGCTTGAGGTATGTGACTAAACCTTAAAGGCCTGTAAACGTACCAATGGAGAGACAAATTATTATTTGCAGGGCGGGGGTGGAAGGTAGAGTAAGTATTGCATCTCATAAAAGAAGCTAATGACTATACAAACAATGCTGGCATTTATTATCTAAATCATCCACTTATATTATCAGGCGTAAGAAATGCTACCTTAAATTAAGACAATGTAACTTGGCATGGATAATGGTTCAATAACATGAATTTCTGGTAACCAGAAATAATATAGGGGAAAAATTAAGTTTAGACACAAAACTGTGTGGGAAAGATGATGCCCTTACTAATTAACACAAATGGAAGCAATGACTCAAGAGCCAATAGGTAGAGTGTAATCCAACTCTCTCATGAGGCTAAGTGATTTGCCCACAGTCACTAGGTTTGGTAACTCTTGGGAAATAGGCTACACCAATTCATCAAAGTTTGAGGACAAGGGAATAAAAAGCAAAGTATAATATTGGCAATGAGAAGGTAGGATCACCTTTATTTATAGGGTGCACTTATAGATAGTACTGTTGTATACCGGAAAACCCAATCAAATGAAAATCATGAAGAAAAAAAACGTTTACATGTTGGCTAGATACAAAAATAATTTGTAACAATAGTTTGTGTGCATGTACATATAGACAGCCATTTAGGAGCCACAACGTGAGATGACATTCTCATCAGCAACATAAAACATAAAATTTCAAGAAATGCCCTACACCTGTATGAAGTAAAAGTCTAATGAGGGATATAAGACTTAAGGAGAGAAGTAGTCTCCATTCTTGCAGAACATTCAACCCTTGAAAATATTAGTTATTCCTAAACAGTTTATAAAGTCAACACAATGCCAACATAAATCTCAAATGAATTTAAAATTGGGGGAAAACTGGCCAAAAAAATTCAGGTTATAGTTCACCTGAAAAATATTATTGCTAAGAAATATGAGCAATGAACATTGGCTAAAGTATTCAGTAAAGCCTCAAAAGTCAAAATAGCCTGTAATAATTACAGCACTTTGGGAGGCTGAGATGGGCAGATTGCTTGAGCACAGGAGGTTGAAACCAGCTTGAGTATGGTGGCAAAATCCCATCCCTACAAATCAATACAGAAAATTAGCCAGGCGTGATCATGGGCGCCTGCAGTACTAGCTACCTGGGGGCTGAGGCGGGAGGATTGCTTGAGCACAGGAGGTCGAGGCTGCAGTGAGCCATGTTTGTGCCACTGCACTCCAGCCTGGGTGACAAAGCAAGACTGTATCTCAAAATAAAATAAAATAAATAAAATAAAATATATCCCAGTGCATGGTGTATTAAAATAGTGTGATACACAGACAAGAAAAGACTGAACAACAGTATTATTCCAGGAGTGCTGAGAATTTGGCAGGTGATATTTGAAATCAGCATAGAAAAGTTAGATAATTTAATTTGTTGGGGGAAATACATGAGTTGTGTCCTCAAAAAGATGTATTGAAGTCTTAATCCCTGGTACCTACGAATGTAATCTTAACTGGAAACAGTGTCTTTACAGACATAATCAGGTTAAGAGGGGTTCATACTGGATGAGTGGGTCTAATCAATCCTGTTGACTCGTGTCTGTATAAAGATCTGGACACAGAAAGATACAGGCAGAAATTAGAATAATGCAGCTGTAAGTCAGGGAATATCAAGGATTGGCAACAATCACTAGAAACTAGGAAGGGGTGCTCTTTCCCTAGAGCTTTCAGATAGAATCTGGCCCTGTTGAAACCTTGATTTCAGACCTCTAGCCTCTGAACTGAGAGATAACAAATTTCTGTATTGTTTTAAGCCACCCAAGTTTATGGTAGTTTATTATGGCAGCTTTAGGAAACTAAAACAAATAGTAAACCTGAATCCCTATCTCTGTCCTTACATGAAAAAAAAATCTAGATGGTTAAAAGAATTAAATGTAAACCAATCACCACCAAAGACCAGAAGGAAACATGGCTGAAAACTTGTATCTTGGAGAAAAGATAAGGGCTTTTTAAAAATGGAAGAAAATGAATAAATTTGACTTTATAAACATCTTAAATATCTGTGTGGTAATTCAAAAGGCAAGAAATTATAAAAGAAATCTGTAACTCATGGCAAATAAAGGGTAGTCAGTAAGAAAGATATAAAAAGCCCATAAAAAAATGAACAAAGAACAAGATGAATTGGCATGAAAATATATGAAAACATGCTCCTTTACTAATTAAAGAAATGAAATGCATTTAATGTATAAAATATTTTACTTACAGACTATAGAGATTAAAGATTTATCTAAGTCAATTAGCTAGGGTAGAAAAATAGGTACTTCATTCACATTTGATGGGAGTACACATTGGTATAATCCTTTTGGGAAGCAGTAAGTATCACCTCGTCCTTGGCTATTTTGATTATTTTCACATTTTTGCTTTTCCCATTCTAATGTGTGCATTGTTCATGTAAAGTTTTATCTTTTTTTGTTATTTTCCCACAAGAGAGATCAAAGTCTCTTGAAGGATATTTACTTTTGTGGAATGTGGTATGTACTGGCATATCAGTTTAAAAAGCAATTCATAAGACATTACCCCCAAAATAAGTGAGTATACCAGTTTCGCTGCAAACCACACCACTACTTTTCTCACTAATATCTCATTTGTAACTTGCATTTTTAAATGAAATCTTTCCAGAAACCAAAGAAATATGGTTTCTTTGCTAATTTACTCATGTAAATTGTGTTTCAATTTTTTGTCCATTATTAATTCACAGATTCATATTTATTTCTGAATATTTCTATCCTCATAGTAATTCCAAGAGATCCTTGTGTAACATATATATTAACTCTTGGTTTGCCTTTCACTGGGGATTTCTTTCCACACCATGTAATTCTCAAGGTTCCTTCATCTACTTCCATGGTTCTGCTCACCACTTTTATACTAAGGACTCCTCAATCCACATGCTCTACAGCTAAATCTTTTCTTTTCAAACCACTTGGAACAGTGTTCTGCACGTTGGGTGTTAAACACTGAAATACAGACCTATAAGGACAATTTAAAAATATTATTTTTAGTGTTGTTTTAAATATTAAATATGAATAATTATCAAATAATTCTATAGCATTAATGCATGAAAACAAGCAGTGGATATAAAAATATTCTGCTTAACTATGAAAGATTGCCTAAGTGCTTGAATAAATGAATATAAAACTGAGTTTTAAAATTCTTTATTTAAAAATCTCTAACTGTAATGTTTCATAAAAAATACGTTTCTATTTACATAGTTCATTAAATTCTATTAGTTTGAATTAAAGTCCAATTTTGAAAAGCCTGCAGAATTTCTTCTGAAATTAAGCACTTAAAATTACTGTATACATAAAACTTACAAAAACAAATGGTATACCAAAGTAGAGAAAAGAAAAAGAGTAAAGTGGCTAAAAAGGTCACTGGGACATCACCTGCTCACCTAAGAACCAGGAGTACTGGATACTGTTCACCGTTCCTGCTAGCCTACCTCGATGTAAAGGTTCGTAAGCTACAATGCTTTTTTTGTTAAAAAAAAAAAAAAGTCTTGCCGAAAGTAACACCGCCAAACATCCTCTTTAGACTTTTATCTAAAGTAAGTCATTCCATTTGGTTGATATCAACTAACATACAATTTCTGAGATCATAAACTTTTCATGAAATTAAAGTAGAAAAACTGTCCAGGAAAATCAGACTTCAAAGTTGGCGCATCTTAGCTGATCTCATGAAATTTCTCTAGTATCTTTCGTTGGTCTATAACCAATCAAGGACTCTTTACTGTCATTATCGACAAGCAGATCCACTAGCACATGTGGTTTATCATAACCAAAGGAGGTGGGGGCTTTTATTACTGTTATGACTTCTTGTTCTTCTGTTTTTATTTCTGCTTTATTATTTGGGGGAAATTCTGAGTCAGATAAGGAGCTATGGGATTCCAGACAGCTGGAATCAGTATCAGAACCATTTCTGGAGTGATATGAGTTTAAAGTGATGATGCAGGGTTCAGACTGGTTACTACTTAAAAGTGAAGAACTCTCTCTCTCTATTGGAGTCAGATGGCTGCCTGGGACCATGTCAGGAATGTCTTCTTCAGTAGTCACCACTTCTGTTATACTAGAAAGTTCTTCTGTATGTTCTCCTTTTCCTGGATTGTCTTCAGTATGCATGTCTGGAACTGGAGACAGTGGCTCTTCACAGTCCACCTCCTTTTCTAAGAAAAATGGCTGGTATGATGTAATGCGTGACATGTATTTTGATTCAGGTTTTATCTCTGTAGTGGCACTTCTTACAACAGAGATCTATGGGGAGAAAAATGGATTGATTAAAGATAAAACATTGTTAAGCTTAAGTGCCTACCCTCAAAAAAACAAAGGTCTAAAGGTAACGGACATCCAAACGGCACATGTAGGGTAACAGGTGAACAGATGGTTGCCCTTTCTTTTTGATGAAAGATACTATAGTTAAATTAAAAACAAAGTTTTCCTTTGGGAGGCCGAGGCAGGTGGATCACGAGGTCAAGAGATTGAGACCATCCTGGTCAAAATGGTGAAACCCCGTCTCTACTAAAGATACAAAAAATTAGCTGGGCATGGTGGCGCGTGCCTGTAATCCCAACTACTCAGGAGGCTGAGGCAGGAGAATTGCCTGAACCCAGGAGGCAAAGGTTGCCATGAGCCGAGATCACGCCATTGCACTCCAGCCTGTGTAACGAGCAAAACCCCGTCTCAAAAAAAAAAAAACAACAAAAAACAAAGTTTTCAGATTTTCAAAAACCCACCTGATAACTTATTAATATATGTTGCTCTCTGTACATTATTACCATGATGGTTAATACTGCGTGTCAACTTGATTGGACTGAAGTATACAAAATACTGATCCTGGGTGTGTCTGTGAGGGTGTTGCCAAAGGAGATTAACACTGGAGTCAGCCTGGGAAAGGCAGACCCACCCTTAGTCTGGGTGGGCACAATCTAATCAGCTGCCAGTATGGTTAGAATATAAGCAGGCAGAAAAAAGTGAAAGGAGAGACTGGCCTAGCCTCCTAGCCTACATCTTTCTTCCGTGTGGGATGCTTCCTGCCCTCCAACATCAGACTCCAAGTTCTTCAGTTTTGGAGCTCGGACTGGCTCTCCTTCCTCCTCAGCCTGCACATGGTCTATTGTAGGACCTTTGATTGTGTGAGTTAATACTAAATGAACTCCCCTTTAAATAAAAAAAAAAAAAAAAAAAAAAAAAATATATATATATATATATATATATATATATATATTCCATTAGTTCTGTCCCTCTAGAAAACCCTAATCCAATTACCTTCCACATGTATGCATATCATTTTTGCAAAGTGAGCACATCTACTTTAGTAATATTCTCATTACTTGCCTTCATCATTGTAATTTTGAGTGATTCATATTTCTTCATACTGATAATTTCTCTAACAGCGGATGCTGAAATGTTTCCAATTCTTTCTAGCTATAGAACATATTAAATATCCTGCACATCTTTTTATTTATGAAAATCTTTATCATACATTTTTAAGAGTGGAGTGACTACATCAAAGCAATGGCATGTTTAGGGCACTATTCCACTGAATACCCACTGTGTGCTTTTCCTTTTACCAGGGCTAGATTACTTTTTACCACATTTACCTATTACTGCTGGTACTACTGGATATCCGGGTTTCTTTTTCCTTTTCTAGTGTGTGTAAAATGGCATAATACAAGGTTGCTTTGTGCTTAAGGATAAAATATTACAATTCATTTGTGAGTTGACTACTAACTGTTGATAGTTCTTATCCATTTTACTTAAAGATAGTTTTTAATAGCAAATTTTAATGTGCCCTTTGAGCATCACAGACATTATTCCTGTCATATTTCATTCAAATAGATACTATTCTGTTATCTTTGGCTCTGGACCTTGGCACATTCTGTCCCTTAGTGCCTGAATAAACTCCTGTATGTCACTCAAGACTGCTCAGACATTGCCTCTGGAAAAACCACGACTAACCCCACCCCCAAAGCTGGACAAAGTCTTCACTGGCTTATGTATAAACCTTTACCTTTGAACCTATCACACTATCTATCCATTGTATAATTATATTTTCTTTCCACTAGACTTTAAGATCTTGAAGAAAAATGTCTCACTGTGTTTTTGCCCTGAGAATTAAAAATACTGCTGCAGAGCAAAAGACACAGTATGTGGTTTTGGATGTGTGGTAGACTGACTGATTAATGGCAGCTGACAAGCTGCTGAGCATCATTCTACTTTAAAAACATAATTTAAGAAACTAACAAAAAAAGGTTCAAGTGAACCTTTTAGTGTATACAATAAAAAAAAATTAAATACTTTACCAAGGACTTGGGTAATATTATGCTTTTTTCCTTCAACGGATTAATCTTCTTAATGTAAAAATAGATTAATACCAGGGTAAGTACTAGAAATAGTAAAACAGCCACAGCTGGAATCCAAAGAGAACCTTAAAAAGAGGCAAAAATCACAAATTACAATTAAGATGGAATACTGCTATGATCTATCAGAAAGTCTTAGTGCCATTCTTGAGTACATTTACACATTAGTTAATATGGCTAGAGTTTTAAAGAACACTGAAGAAAGCAGAAGTTAGGAAATTTGAGTAAAAAATTAGGTATCTGTCTTAGCAGTATGATTCTTCCAGCTGTGCAATTCTAGAACTTTCTGGGACTATTCTTCTATGACACAATATAGTTAAAATATCTTTTCCACAGTAATTTCCTTACAGCCCTACATACAGTGTGTTTCCAGGGTTATGCATTTCTTTTAGTTAAAAATGCAAAAAAAGAATTTAAAAAAAAATCTCTCCTTAGAAATAAGCTCTCGCAATGTTTACAGCTCTTAAAATGATTTAGCCCCACTCCTCAGAATTTTCTATTACATTTATTTAGTTCACAGTTGCAAATACTTATAAAGCTTCACAGATGGACATGCACACAGGAATGTTGCACAAGAATAAAGCCCTCTTAATTATAAATCAGACATAAATAATATAAAATAGGAAAGATTTGTTTCCAAGCACATACACCTAGAATCCCCATTGTGTATTTTGCTCGAATGCTGCTTTTATTTCTGCAGCACAATCTTAAGTTTTTTGGTTTTTTTTCTACAGTCCTCTCTTCCAAATTAACAACACTCTACATACTGTGGCAATGTCTGGCATCCTTTAGGGCATTTTATTATCTTGAATTTTCTAACTGTGGAAGTTACTAGTTAATGAATGCTTCTATTATGCCTACTACAGAATGTGAAAAAAGTTAAATCATTATAATAGTAAAAAAGAAAACAACAACAAAACCAACACTCGTGCTGTGTTAGAAGTCCTACAGGCTGAGCAAGTGCTGGCTGCAAGGCATTGGGGCTGCTGCTCAGGAGCCACCGTGATGCCACCGTGTGGCCAGAGCATCACTGCAGTTTAGAACTCAGGCTTCAAACAAATGTGGGGCATTTGCATTATTTCAAAGTTTGAGCATTATGAAGGGTTTTATTTTTCCAATAGCATAATAAAAATTAGAATAAAATGCATTGCACTGCTTTAAGTCACCTATTTGAAACCTGCATGTAATGGCCTGAAGTTATTTAAATTTCAGGTGTTTGTTCTGACTCTGCAGCCTATATTTCCATTCTTCAAAAATATACCCATATCATAAAGTTTTAGTAAAGTTTTAAACCTATGAAATAGTCTTAAAAAGTCCTACTAAGAAAGAATATATATATTACACCATACACGCAAAGATAATTATCAAAGCATGATTAGTCATAGTGAAAACTCCTATAATCTTAAAAGTTCAAAAATGATAAAACATTAAATAAAAATATAATTTACATAGTAAAATATTCTACAGACATTAATATTAATGAAGTATCTGAAATAAAATGGAAAAATATTTATGTGCTGAAAGCAGTACACAAAATCATATACACTATACAATATGATCATGTCTATGTAGAAAAACTAAAGAAAATACCAAATTGTGAATAACGGGGTATTTTTGCATGACAGAACTACAGATCATTTTGTTTTCTTCCGGCTTTTCACATTTTATAAATTATCTATAATGAACACTCACATTTCATAACTGTAAAGAAAAATTCAAACTTTTTTGAGGTAACTGACAGCTGAGAGTAACAGTCAGCTCTCAAGTTCAAGTTCTAGTGTGTGTGTGTATGTGTGTGTGTGTGTATCTCCCCACTCCCACATTAAAAGATGAAATTAATTATCGTAAAATGTTACAAAAATGACCCATTATCCATTATTCAAACCCATCTATATACTTTTTTGGATATTAATCGCAAGTCTCTGTCCAGTTCATGCCATACAGTTGTAATCAATAAAGGTTCCTGCCCTTCAGTCTTTAAATTACAATCCCCATAAAGAACATTTTAGTGGATTCATAACATCTTGTTATGCTGAAGTAACAAACTGACTTTTTTTTTGAGACGGAGTTCCGCTCTTGTTACCTAGGCTGGAGTGCAATGGCGCGATCTCGGCTCACCGCAACCTCCGCCTCCTGGGTTCAGGCAATTCTCCTGCCTCAGCTTCCTGAGTAGCTGGGATTACAGGCACACACCACCATGCCCAGCTAATTTTTTGTATTTTTAGTAGAGACGGGGTTTCACGATGTTGACCAGGATGGTCTCGATCTCTTGACCTTGTGATCCACCTGCCTCGGCCTCCCAAAGTGCTGGGATTACAGACTTGAGCCACCGCGCCCGGCCTCAACAAACTGACTTATAATCCATAATCCTGAAATGTAAATATTTGCACAGTTTTATGTACTTATTATGTTTTTTATCTTTCTGGGTCAAGGGGCCATCACATGGCTTTCCAAATTGGTTGTTCGACATCTTTTAATGAGTGAGAAACTGCCTTATTTTTAATTTTGAACTTCTCTAAGGAATGGAACTAATGGAACTGAATATCGTTAAAACAGATCTTTTGAAACTGCAAATAAATTTGTTTTCCACATGATTCTATTTTAGTTACTGCTCCCTCTATATTAAGAAAAAAACGGCAGGAACTTACTTTGTATGCTGCTATTGGAAATGGTAACACAAACTTCTTTTGACTTTTCAGTTGTAACACCCCATACATTTAAGACTCCTTCTGCCGAAACACAGTACTGGGAATTCAGTGAGGGCACTGGAACTGTTAACTGGCACTGAATCTCGTTGCAATCATCTTCCATCTTCGTGGATACTTTATACGGGATCTGGATGGAAAAAGAAAACAGTGAAAATGCATAGCCTCTTTTAATCTGCAAAAAAAAAAAAAATCACCTGATTAATCCTGACCAACAACTGAAGAAAACATACATGACTGATGTTGAACATGTCTAAAAACAGCTTTGATACCAAATAAGCCAACTTATTACTTCAGCACAGCACAATACTATGCATCTGTTCAAATATTCCTTATAAAGACTGTAAATTTAAAAACTTAAATTGCAGGAATGTTTATTGTTAGTTGTTTAACAAATGTTCATTTGTCCTATTCCTAGAGTACCAGGAATTTAGCTGGTGAGAGACAGAAGTGCTAATATTATTTTACATTACCACCAATGAGGAAGAAAATCCTCATTTAACCGGTGGAGCAATGGAGGTGTACTGGGAAAAATCCTAGATTCAGGCCATTCCACTTAATGAAGCAAATAAAAACTGAAATGTATTCACGTGGTCAGTGTTAGTGACTAACTCCCTATCATTTTTGCTTTACTAGCATCCAGATATTTTTTTCTTATCAAAATCTATGCTCTGTGAGTCTTGCTTGAATATTTATAAGCATTCTATTTTCATTACATTACAGAAAGAAACAACTTTTACTAGCTACACAAGAATTCCCATTATGAAAAATCTGAAACAGAAACACATACCTCACTTTTGTTCACTCTCACATAGACATTGTACACAATAATGTAACAGGTAATTTCATCATAATAATCCACTTCCTGCTCTTCTCCATTTATAAAAACAGAAGGGTGAAATATGTCAATCGTGATTTGCTTCTCTCCCTTTCTGATACCCAATTTAGGTGGCTCAATTTTTCCTGGGGAAGGAGGAGGAGGAAGTATAAGTCCTGGCCTTGGAACTTCATAGTACATTTCATAAAATTACCAGAATCTATAAATCAACCTACTCTTTTTTTGTTCTGGTTGTTCTAAAGTAGAACCACATTTAAACCACTCCACAAATATCTAGAAGATAGACTAATTAACAAACAAATGTTTCATAAATCTCAGGCAAGAAGTACTCTTGTTTAATCTAAATTGCCTCTTTAGCAGTTTAATTTCATTCCTAGTTGTAAACAAAAATAGTTACAGATTTTGGTTAAAAAAAGACTTCACATAATATAAACTCTATTAAGTAATTTTTCCTTTATCTTTGCTTTTGTGGATTAAGGACCCTAGTTTCTAAAAAACGTTTCAGAAATGGCATTTGTTATCATCCCTCACCAAAACTCTTTTTACTGTGAAAAATCAGAACTTATTCAATACATATTTATTGGGTCTTTGACGTTTGAGTTTGCTGGTGAACCATATATCTAGTCTTCACATATTTACCGTGTGCCTGGCAGGTCTGTTTTCACACATCAACATATTCTCAGGGCCCAGTATACTTTCTTGCACATAGTAGGCCCTTGATAAATCTGTATGGAAAAAAATCTAACATGCAGGTGGTGTGGAAATCAGATGACAAAAGTATGGACTCTGGGGAAGAAAAGTATTTAAAGACAAAGGAGAGGACCAGTCTGAAAGGCAGCAGCAGAGCAAGGAAGTGAAGATAGAAGAGAAGGTACCCAAGAGCTAGAAGACCAGGAAGATTCTGGAATATTTGACCAGGAAGGAGTCAAATGACTAAAGGTTTCTTTTACTCAGGAGTGAGGGTCTGAGAGCTAAGGTAGGATGTCAAAGTCAGAAAATAGGAACTGGCACTAAAGATTCTGGGGTTTGAGGTGACAGCAAACATCAGATACACTATGTGAGTGGGATGCTGGAAGAGTGAATACCTAAAAATCATGGTGGCTGAAGAGAATAAGGAACTCTGCAATTTTTTAATGTATTAAGGTGGTATTCAAACTCCCCCAGGCATTAAGAATAAGAGTTAGCTGCCAAAGTCCTCAGAGAATATAACTTAGAAATGAATGACAAAAGATGGGAAGGGAAAGGGTGGCGCAGAGGACAGCTGGGCAGCACAGACCCTTATCTGTATAAAGTGGAAATGTCATATATTTGGCTTAGACGCAGCAAAGATGGCCACCTGTTAGCCCTATTTTGTGGGGCTTGAAAGAAGGGGAGCATACAGGTTAAGTATCCCTTATCCAATATCTTTGAGATCAGCAGTGTTTTCAGTTTCTGAGTCTTTTTCTGGATTCTGGAATATCTGAATTATACTTACCAGCTGAACTTTCCAAATCTGAACATCCAAAATGCTCCAATGAGTATTTCCTTTGAGTGCCATGCTGGCATTCATAAAGTTTCAGATTTTGGAGCATTCTGGGTTTGCAGACTTGGGATGCTCAACCTGTACTGACTCCCTAAATTCCTCCAAATCTTTCTTAAGCATTGCTGTGATAATTTTCAGCAACTGCTAATAAAAGCAAATATATACAGAAGACATGTATAAATATTTTCCTCTTTAAAATTTACATGTGTACACATTCTACTCACCATGTTGGCATACAGTAAATTCTTCTGACTTTGCGTAGGCAGATTCTTTTTGTCCAACTCTAGCTTTAACTCTGACCCAAAGAGAATTTAATGGATCACTAACGTGGTCAGAAATATTACAATAACGATGAGAAATATTGGTGCAGGCAACAGTCCAGTCTCCATAACTAAAAAGAATAAAAAAACACAAGGATAACTTTTATTGTTATCAAATAAACTCAAACCATTTCTGTCTGTGCTTTGTTTTTCATTCACAGCACAGAGCGGTAGAAAGAGCAGAGTAAGTAGGATGGAGACACTAGAGAAAGTAGGAAGCCCCTACTCTCTAGTTAGAAGTACTACCAATACTTTTTAAACAACTCTGGATTCCCTCAGTATACACGTTAATTATGGGATTAAGCACATTACAAAAACTAACAGTTGTCAAAATTTTTTTTGAAATGTATATTGTTTTACTAAAAAGTACATACACTATAAGAAGATGACATAGTAACTATTAGCTTTATTTGTCATGCTAATCTCAGAAGTTAGTGATATTTCTCTACTTCAATACTGATAGGAAGAGGAAGTAAGAGGCAAGAAATATTTTGCAAAGAATTTGCATCTTTAGCACTTCTGGACATCTACAAGCAGTTCAGGATGTTTTGCCATGTGGGAAGGATGATAAAACAGTAACACAGACGGCTGCTGAACTTGCATGGACCTAGACAAAAATGGAATAAAATGGCTAAATAAAAGAGTGACACTCACCCATAGGTCTTTACCTCTACGGTAAAAACAGGAACCTGTGGCATGATCTGGTACTCCCAATATACGATAGGTTTCATGTTATAGGACTCAATTGTAACATTAGTTGGTATAGGTACTGTAAGAGATTCAAAAAGTAAAATGGACAATTGTAAGAAAGTTACATTAACATTGGAAAACCTTATTATAAGAGGCCACATTAGTCAGATATGCATATTTGAAGAACAGTAGAATTCACGAGGATACCAAAATTATTTAAATCAAGAATAGTTATCTAGAAATTAATTTTATTGAAATACCTGTAAGAAGAGTTCTGATTCATTTTAAATTATGGAAACATTATTGCAATATAAAGGAAACACAAATATCGCATGAAGCAATACATTCCCATAATAGAAATTTTATAATCAAATGCACTGACTACTGTAACAATAATCCTCAATTCATTTCATCACTAGAATTTTCAATATTTGGTAATACAGATTGTATTCAACATTAACATGGTTTGGCTGTGTCCCCATCCAAATCTCAATTTGAATTGTATGTCTCAGAATTCCCAGGTGTTGTGGGATGGACCCAGGGGGAGGTAATTGAACCGGGGCCAGTCTTTCCTGTCCTATTCTTGTGATAGTGAATAAGTCTCACGAGAGCTGACGGGTTTATTGAGGTTTCCACTTTGCTTCTTCCTCATTTTCTCTTGCCGTTGCCATGTAATTAGTGCCTTTAGCCTCCCACTGTGATTCTGAGGCCTCCCCAACCATGTGGAACTGTAAGCAAGATTAAATATCTTTTTCTTCCCAATCTTGGGTATGTCTTTATCAGCAGCGTGAAAACAGATTAATAAAGTAAATTAGTACAAGTAGAGTGGAGTGTTGCTAAAAAGATATCTGAAAATGAAAAGCAACTTTGGAACTGGGTAACAGGCAGAGATTGGAACAGTTTGGAGGGCTCAGAAGAACATAGAAAAATGTGGGAAAGCTTAGAACTTCCTAGAGACTTGTTGAATGGCTTTATGCAAAATGCTGATAATGATGTGGACAATAAAATCCAGGCTGAGGTGGTATCAGATGGAGATTAGGAACTTGTTGGGAACTGGAGCAAAGGTGACTCTTGTTATGTTTTAGCAAAGAGACTGGTGGCATTTTGCCCCTGCCCTAGAGATTTGTGGAACATTGAACTTTAAAGAGATGATTTAGGATATCTGATGGAAGAAATTACTAAGCAGCAAAGCATTCAAGAGGTGACTTCGGTGCTGTTAAAAGCATTCAGTTTTATAGAGGAAGCAGAGCATAATGGAAAATTTGCAGCCTGACTATGAATTAGAAAAGAAAAACACAGTTTCTGGGGAGAAATTTAACCTGGCTGCAGAAATGTACATAAGTAGCAAGGAGCCTAATGTTAATTCCCAAGACCATGGAGAAAATGTCTCCAGGCCATGTCAAAGACCTTCATGGCAGCCCCTCCCATCACAAGCCCAGAGGCCTAGGAGGAAAAAGTGGTTTTGTGGTCCAGGCCCAGGGTCCCCAGGCTGTGTGCCTAGGGACTTGGTGTCCTGTGTCCCAGCTGCTCCAGCTGTGGCTTCTGAGGGTGGAAGCCCCAAGCATTGGCAGCTTCCATGTGGTGTTGAGCCTGCAGGTACACAAAAGTCAGGAACTGGGGTTTGGGAACCTCTGCTTAGATTTCAGATGAGGTATGGAAACACCTGGATGCCCAGGCAAAAGTTTGCTGTAGGGGCATGGCCCTCATGGAGAACCTCTGCTAGGCCAGTATGGAAGAGAAATGTGGGGTTGGAGCCCCCACGCAGAGTCCCCACTGCAGCACTGCCTAGTGGAGCTGTGAGAAGAGGGCCACCATCCTTCAGACTCCAGAATCATAGATCCACTGACAGCTTTCCTGGAAAAGCCACAGATATTCAACAGAAGCCCATCAAAGCGGCTGAGAGGGCAGCTGTACCCTGCAAAGCCACAGGGGCAGAGCTGCCCAAGATCATGGGCACCTACCTCTTGCATCTGTATAACCTGGATGTGAGACTTGGAGTCAAAGAAGATCACGCTGAAACTTTAAGATTTGACTGTCCCACTAGATTTTGGACTTGCATGGGCCCTATAACAGCTTTGCTTTGGCCAATTTCTCCCATTTGGAATGGCTGTATTTTACCCAATAGCTGTACCCCCATTGTATCTAGGAGTTAACTAGCTTGCTTTTGATTTTACAGGCTCATAGGCAGAAGGAACTTGCCTTATCTCAGATGAGACTCTGGACTGTGGACTTTTGGGCTAATGCTGAAATAAGACTTTGGGGGTCTGCTGGAAAGCCATGATTGGTTTTGAAATGTGAGGACATGAGATTTGGAAGGGCCAGGGGTGGCATGATATGGTTTGGTTTTGTGTCCCCACTCAAATCTCAACTTGAATTGTATTTCCCAGAATTCCCATGTGTTGTAGGAGGGATGCAGGGGGAAGGTAATTGAATCATGGCGGCTGGTCTTTTCCGTGCTAGTCTTGGGATAGTGAATAAGTCTCAAGAGATCTCATGGATTTATCAGGGGTTTGTGCTTTTGCTTCTTCCTCATTTTTCTCTTGCTACTGCCATGTAAGAAGTGCGCTTTGCCCTTGCCATGATTCTGAGGCCTTCCTAGTCAAGTGGAACTGTAAGTCCAATTAAACATCTTTTTCTTCCCAGTCTTGAGTATGTCTTTATCAGCAGAATGAAAACAGACTAATACAAACGTCTGCAGAGGTAATGGCTGCACTAAAGATGGCCAATTTCACTCTAAAATACCACCAACCTCTCAACTGTACACATACTACTATTACGCCTTCAACACTTTTTTTATAGTACAGAAATAGATATCTAAAGATTGAACAAAGAAGCCACACATTCCAGTTTCATCAACATTCTGCTCTCTGGGGCATACAGAGCTTTTTATAAAACATACCCAACATTTCTTCTTGTCATTACTCTTTTAAACCTTTCAGAAAACAACTGTTGGTAAGACTTGAAAGAGTTATGTAAGATAACAGACAGAAGTCATTTTAACATCTAATCAGACACTACCAAAATCTAGTTATTAATAGCAGTCATGGGCCAGGTGCGGTGGCTCACGTCTGTAATCCCAGCACGTCAGGAGGCTGAGGTGGGAGGATCTCTTGAGCTCACAAGTTGGAGACCCTGTCTCTGCAAATAATTAAAAAATAAGCCCGGTGAGGAAGCCTGTGACTGTAGCTCCAGCTATTTGAGAGGCTGAGGAAGATCGCTTGAGCCCAGGAGGTCAAGGCTGCAGCAGTGAGCTGTGATTGTGCCACTGCATTCTATTCTCTTAAAAAAAAAAGAAAAAAAAAAGTAGTCATTTTTCCCCACTGTTCGGTGTAAAAAGCTGTCAAACACCCCTTGGTAAACTGAACACACACACCTCTCCTTTCTCCCTTCACTTCTTTATAGATAAACACGAATGTATACAGTTAGTGATGTGACCTCAAATTTATGGTATTCAATCTTACCTAGCTGGAAGACTCTATTAAACATGATTTACTTATATAATTAAAATGAATACATGAATGGCAATGTGGACAAGAACAGTGGCTTCCAAACATACTTTATAAGCATCCTCAAAAATTGTGAGAGAGCCAGAAGTTTATATTTTTTCAAAGTGCCTTGGATGATAATAATGATGATAATGATTTATATTTACATCAAGTAGACTGCTTAAATAAGAAAAGTACTCCCTGGGTCAAACATTAATAACCTTGGGTTCTTTCTTGGCTACACTGCTAAATATTTCAGATTTCCTCATCTGTCAAGTGAGGAAAATCTATATATTTTCTCTGAAACAAAAATTCCAACATTCAAGACCAAACTGGTATATTGCCTTAACTTACAATTCCTTACTACATATATTATGTTTTCAAAGCAGAACATGGATCAATAGTTATTTAGGTAAATAATACGAACTCATGGACAATTAAATGCTATCATCATTTCTTTTTTCTTTTTGATTATTTTTTCCTTTATCACAGTGGTTCTCTGTAGGAAGTGATTTTGTTGCCCAGGAGACATTAGGCATCAATGTCTGTAGGCATTTTTGGTTCTCAGAACCTGGAGAGGAAGCGGGTGGGGGAGGTACTACTGGCATCTAGAGGGCAAAAGCCAAGGGTGCTAAATACCCTACAACGCACAGGACAGCCTCCACAACAAAAAACAATATAGCCCAAAATGCCAGCAGTGCCAAGGCTGATCAACCCTGCTTTATATGTTTACAATTTTAGTGTTTTTCTTTAAAAAAAAAAAAATGTAGGAGGAAAAACTAATTTAACAACAGAATGCTTTATAGTCAACCAGCATATTTCATGGCTCCCCTCAAACAAAGGACTAGATTTGGTTATTGCCAAAATAACTAACTTCTGTATCATTTACCAAAATGGTGTAACAATTTGGGCCAAAAGGTAGAGATTATAAAGCTGGGAGGGTCTCAAGATTCAAATACTTCATACTACTAACCTGACCTTTTTGTGGCCAGTGACTGGACACTTACAGTTTTTCTCCTCCTGCTTCCAGAAGCGCTACTGAAGGCTGCTGGTACCTGCCATCTCTGGTTCTAAGCAACTTCTTGTAGGATGAGCCCAAAAGCACTGTTCTTGCTATTGGTAGTCCTGGCTCCTCTTTGGTTTTGTTAGAGTTCCCATGGCCATTCACAGCAGGGGTTACTGAGGCTTAAGAGGGCCCTTTTTCTATCGTATGTTACATGTTTGCATCTCAACCTCCTGAAACAACCTAAATACTTTCCAACCCATGTTTTAGGTAGAAATAAAAGTCACTCCTCTTCACCTGGAATGAATCAACATTAATATCAAATAACAATCATATATATAAACATACCTTTGCTACCAGAAAACAGAGGTACTTGAGGCTAAGAAGACTTATACTAAATCTGAGCCTTCCTTCAGAGGCCATTTCTTCATTAAAGCATTTTTTGCCTCTTGAGAGGCTGAGAATTTTCAAACCAGGAGGTCCTGGTTTCTTTTTAACAGTTCTTCCCATGATTGAGCAAAGTCTCACATGTTACTGTAAGAAGCAAGAAGAAACTAGGTGGTACTTTCAGCACTTTGCTTGGAAACCTCC